AAACTGTCTCTTCTGAGAATGGCTCTTCCTGTCACATGACTGAACTAGAAAAAACACACATCAGGGCAGATACACACACTCGTCAGAATGAGAAAAGTCAGAGGAACTAGTTAGTATGCTGTGATCTGCTGACGGGTGAAAGGAAGCACACCTTCCGGGTTGGACCGAGCATAGATGAGGTCTGGCTGAGCCGGACTGGTTACCCTGCGTGGCTAACTTTGACCTGACTTTAACCACATCCTCTACTTGTGAAATGAACCGATGTGACTTGCGCGCGTGTGTGTTTTCTATTTGAGTAGATCCTGATGTGCTGTTTCACTTCCCTGAAGACTTTAATGATGAGGTTAGTACTCGAGGATCACTGTGGCTCTTTCCTTCTGTTTTCATTTGATTTTCATTTGAAGAGTTCATTTGCAAAAACAGATTACTCAGCTTTTAACCATTTTCAAAAATCGTGTTTTTTCATTGTGCACTCCAATTAATCTCAATCAGACTGCAGTTGGGTTATTTTGATTAAGTAAAAATAACTAAAAAACACAGCTGACTAACACAATAAAACAATAAAAACATGATAACATAATAAAAAAACAGAGTTTTCTGTTTTTGTAAATAAACTTCATTTATTTTTATTAATTAATTTTATTTAAAAAATTCTAAAAAATAAATAATTGCATGAGCAAATAGATGCACAAATAAATAAGTCAAGCCTCTGCTTATCATGATGTACTAGCTAAGAATTAGGGGAAATTATAATAAATAAAAAACATTTCACAAATAAATGCATGAATAAAACAAATGCACAAATAAATAAATAAAATAAAATAAGTAAATAAGATAAATAGCCTCTGGTATTCATAGGCCCGGTATCACAGACAGGGTTTAGCCTAAGCCAGGATTAGGCCATAGTTCAATTAGGACATTTAAGTACTTTTTATAAATTTGCCTTAGAAAAAAGCATTACTGGTGTGCATCTTGAGACAAAACAAAGGCACTGACATATTTCAAGATCAATCAGTGCAAGTTTCTTTCAGTTGAAACAGCTAAGACTTACACTTTAGTCTAGAACTAGGCTTAAGCCTTGTCTGTGAACCCAGGGGATAATGTAATAGCTAAGTTTTAAGAATTAGGGAAAATTATAAATAATAAATGCATTTTATCTTTCATCAAAATATAATAACCATTTCCACTTCTGCAGCAACTTCGCTTTTCTGGCAATGGCACTGAGGGCACCTGGCATTAATGTCAATCAATTGTCAAATAATAGTATTAGAGGGAACAGGCATTGTTTTAGCCTTTTTAAACTGCTGTCAACAGTGATAACAGTAATTTAACACATATTAACATAAATATAATAAAGTTTAGGACAATAAATAAGGAGAGATTTGAAATAGAGAAACTCTGGAGGGTGTCCACAATCCAAAACTCCCATTCGGGTATCAAACACCCACTTTTCATCATCCAGTAAAGTCTTGATGGATTCTTTCTTTTTACTTCAGAATTCTCTCACATTATGCAAGTAAATGGAACATTTGTGAAGGAATATTTGCACAGATATTGATTTTGAGGTGACTTATCAGCAGGTGCACTCTTAAAAATAAAACTGATTGATGGTTCCATGGAGAACCTTTAACATCCATGGAAACGTTCCATTCCGCAAACGGTTCTTTATAGTGTTCTTTGCACTAAGAATAAACAGTTCCTTTAAGAACTGTTCACTGAAAGGTTCTTTGGGCAACCAAAAATTGTTCTTCAATGGTATCACTGTGAAAGCCTTGTTTTGGAGCCTATATTTGATGGCGTTTCTTCTATTCTCACACAGGAGTCTCTGCAGTCCTTGCCTCGCTTCTGCTTCCCTTATGACATAGAGAGGTGAAAATCATTCATTCATTATTAAAGATGGATGCTCAAGCCTTTTTACCTTTCATAACTGATTAACTGAGGCTAGTCGGTTGGTTGGCAGGGTGAAGGATACTTTCGCCGTGCAGCACTTCACATTCGTCCTGACCGATCTGGAAGGATGCCAGCGCTTCGGTTTCTGCAGACTCACGTCCAGCTCTCAGACCTGCTTGTGCTATATTTTCAGTATATACGTATTTCCATGTCTATTTTTATATTCATATAATTTATATTATTTAATATATAAACATAACATTTTTCTGAAATATATACATGCATGTGTGTGTATTTATATATACATAATAAATATACACAGCACACACACATATATTATGTAAACAAAAACCTTTATTTTGGATGCGATTAGTCGCGATTAATCGTTTGACAGCACTAATTAATATTAAAGAGTTCAAATAAAGAGAGCTAATATAAAGAGTTTAAGAACCCCTGAGTTACAACAGCATCTTCAATAAACAAGAAAAAATTGACAAAATTAATTGTTGAATAACATATTGCAGGATGAATAAAAATAAAACAATTAAAAGACTATTTACTATATTTAAAAAATATATTAAGAAAAAGCAGCCTCAACGAGTGTCAAAATCGATATAATATTAAAAAAGGTCATTAGGTCAATGACTTAAGGCTGGGAAACACCAAGCCGACTGCAAATAACTAGCTGCGATGAAAGCCGACGGTGTTATCGCCTCGCGTCGGCAGCGTCTGGACCAAAAAGCTGCATTTGAACACACCGCTCAGACTACAGCCCTCTGCAAACTAACACGTGCGTTCTGCGCCTGCGTGAGAGGAATTAGCTCTCTAAATATTCATCATTCAAAAGGAGAAACCAAAACAAAGATATACGAGATGTAAACAAAAGCAGTGCTTGCTTACCATTTTGAGTATCAGTAACTATGATAACTTTCATCATTTTACGTGGCTCATGTTAACAGTGCAGATACAACCTGTCCTGTGTGAACGCTGCCTAATTTCATCTCACATTTACCGTTTTTAGCGCACCGATGCCATACCTCATTGGAATTCACTCCAGCCTGGCAGAGGTACAACACTTCCCTCGTCCCATGTTTTCTTTCACAGCGGCACTTAGTCACGCAAACACTCACCTTGCGGCTCTCTCTGTGTGTTTGTGTGCTGCAGAGAGTGAGGAGTCGAGCTCTGGAGGACGTGGTCATACTGAACGTTGACACCAACACCCTGGAGTCGCCCTACGAGGACCTGAAAAAGATCCCGGCCGACGTGGTGAGACTCTTTGACTCCTGGCAGATCTCTGACTCACAAAGGATGAAGGTTTACGGTGAGCTCTGTTTCTGCAGGTGGCGGGACTGAAGGTCAGGCTGAAGAGACAGGCGGCGTCGGCCGGGTCAGGGGTCGCACACGCTTTCCTCCGAGCGCAGGCTCTGCTGTTCGGAGGATACAGGGATGCCTTACAGTCGCCTGATGTGAGTGACACACATTCACGTGAAAACATGACCTTTATGTTTTATGAAAGCTTACTCTCTCGTATGTTGAAGGAAGGGCCGGTGGTCTTCTGCAATGAGCTGTTTCTCGGTCACAAGTCTCAAAGCATGCGGGAGTTTCTGGAAAGCGCGGTTCACCTGCAGTGTTTCAAAGAGGTAACGGCAAACACATAAACGCAACATCAGCAGTTATCATGAGGCAAGACACTACAGGCAAAAGCTTTTTTATTTCATGCAATGTCAATTCTGAGGGCTGTTTTGCTTCTATGACAATATCTTCTTTCAGACAAGTGGGGGGGGAAAAATCCAAAATACACATTTACTTGTTCTATTTGTATACGCAGATTTAAAGTAAAGTACATATATTTAAAGGCTTTTTTCTCAAAATGAAATGAAGAAACAGGGTTATTAGTAGTAACTAAAACTAAAACCACGAATAAAATGTCACCCGTTCTCATTTTAGTTTAACTTCAAGTATGTATATATACAGTGGGTTTTGACTGCTTTTACTGTCCTCATTTGTAAGTTGCTTTGGATAAAAGCGTCTGCTAAATGACTAAATAAATAAATAAAATAAAAAAGTACTAAAATAACTAAAACTGGAATAAAAATATGTAGCGTTTTATATGGTGTCCTTGTTACATATGTCACATGCATTTACTATAATGATAACAATAAATTATGAATAATTGCATGCAACTAACCCTAACCATATAGTAAGTACAAGTAGCTGATTAATATTAGTCGGTACTTAAATACATCATTGTATTGTAACAAGAACACTAAAATAATGTGTAAGCTGAAAATTTTAGAAAGACATATATGTACACTGTAAAACAAAATCTGTAAAATTGACGGTAAAAAAACGACAGCTGTGCATGCCAGAATGTTTCCGTACAAAATACGGCAGCATCATTTTAGGTTTTACGGTTTAAACTTAAATTTACAGTTAAATATCATAATTTCATTAACTGATATAACGTTAATATACCAACTTATTGAGGTATTGAAATCTGTTTTGTACCTTTGTAATATACAGATACCCACCAAAGGCAGGTGGTGATGAGAAAGTCACACGATGAACCAAAGCCCATCACAAGCAGCTTTAAACTGATAACATATATATAGAAGGTGCACAGTGTCATTCACACTAACACCAAACACCATCATGGTAACACACATGAAACTGAAATAATGCAATAAACATTCATTTAACAACATTAGATGTAACATACAAAACTAATGTACACAACTGATAAGAAAAAACTAAGAAGAAACATAGCTATTTCAACAACAAAAAAACATCAAATTTGAAATGTAACGCAGGGAATTCTGGGAATGTCAATTTAAGGTTATTCACTGTAAATTAGACGTTTTAACATTTAACAGGTTTTTACTGTAGCATTTTTACAGTCTTTTGCCGTTAAATTCATGGTCATTTATATGTATAAAGTAATAAAAATGACAGAAACGCACAACAAAATTTCTAAAACTTTAACTAAAACATGAAAAATGTGAGAAAAAAAAACTAATAAATTATCAAATAAAACCAAGTTTAATAATTGCATTAAAAATTAATTCTGAATTAAAGGGGTCATATGATGTTGCGAAAAATTAAATTATTTAGTGTATTTGGTGTAATGAAATGTTTATGCGGATTAAGATTCAAAAAACACATTTTCCATATAATGTACATTATTATTTCTCCTCTATGCCCCGCCTTTCTGAAACGCATCGCTTTTTACAAAGCTCATCGGTCTGAAAAGCGAGGTGTGCTCTGATTGGCCAGCTATCCAGTGCGTTGTGATTGGCCGAATACCTCAAGCGTGTGACGGAAATGTTACACCCCTCACCATACTGTGATGCCCTGTCCGGCCGGAGCGACAAGACAAAAACATTAAAACCCATTATAAACGAGGCATTTGTTACTTCCAGTGGGGACATAATTACGGATTATAATGACTTATACTGTCTTTTTTTCACTTTGCATTGCATTGCGCCGCGTAAACATAAAACCATGTCTGCATTTGTGATCGGAGAAATGACAAACAACAAGCGCTATGCTACACTGCTCAAAACTCGCGTTTGAATCATCAGTGGCAAATCCTTAAAATGAAAACGTACTTACAGTCTGTGAGTCAGAATAGCCGGCATTGTAGTCTACTCTCCCAGGATTAGTAAACAGTCTTCCATAAAATGTGCTGCACACATCTGAATATTTGGGTTGAAGTGTTCTGGAACAGTGTTGTAAATACAACTTAACCACTGATTTCTAGTTGTGTCCTCTTTTGGAAGGCCAAACAAAGTAGTTTCACATGGCGGGCCTGAGTGAGTGGAGGCCGGCGGGCTTGCGGCAACCACATGTGACGACCCCGGGCTGGACTCCGCTTCGTCCATGGTGAAAGCCGATCCGGCGATCCACAGTGCGAAGTTGATGTATTTCTTCAGTGACCAGCACGGATCAGCTCCAGGCATGACGAAGCGGATATCGTCCTCTTTTGGAAGGCCAAACAAAGTAGTTTCGCTTTCACAACGAAGCACACAGCGTCTTCACGACATGGCGGCGGCAACAATACTACAGCGAGAGTAAAAGTTACGCCTTCTTTCTTTGCGTGAACATTTGGGCACATTATGCAAATCTTCCCACATAGTGACCTAGATATGTGGGGGCGTGTTAGAACGAGCTGTTTTAGGTAGGCGTGGTTTACTCTTAAAGAATATCTCTTTGGATTTGAGACTTTAGTCTTTGCAACTTTACAGATCTTCTTTATGCACCAAGAGCTTGTAACACTTCAAAGAGAAAGGAAAAATTTAAATCGCATCATATGACCCCTTTATGACTATAATTCATAAAAATAGTATTTCATAAGAATATTAAATAAAAAATAAAAAAATCTCCACTTGAGTAGCCCTTATACACAAACTGTCCAGTTTTATTCCTATCTATATTCTGAAGGTTTTTATAGAGGAATGTGTTTATATATCATTCGCCTGATTTGTTTTTGATCAAACTTTTTTTGATAGTATTTAAAAAGTGATTAAAAGATATATCGAAAATCCCCTTTTGTAAAATCCTTTAATATGTAAACTTAAAGAAACAAGAATTTTGAGCCTGGATTTATTGGATGCTCATATTTCTGTTCTGGCAATGTATGCAAATTAGCAGACATTAAATTAGATAGTGCCTCATTTGCATATTTAAACATTTCAAAAATCTTGCAATACAAAACAATCGTCTTAATGTACTCAGATTAATTAACTGGAGAAGTATAGTGAAATATATTAGTTAATTCCACCTATGTTTTGGAACAGTACAACCAAAAATAATCTACTCACCCTAATATTGTTCCAAACCCATATGACTTACTATTTCCTGTGGAGGTTTTTTTTTCCATGGAGATGTTTTGAAGAATGTTCATGCTGCTCTTTTTGCGCTGAATGAGGTCTGAGGATGTTAAGCTGCAAAAATAGCACTATAAAAGTTTTAAAACGTACCCAAATGTACTTCAAGTCATATGATCGCTTGTGTGAAGCATTGGCAACTTGAGCATGCACATATTCCTACTTCACGTGACTGATTATAAATATGCAGAGAACCAATGGCATTTAGTGCCTTCCCAATCTTAAATATGCAGAAAAACAAATGACATTTAAGTTTCACAATGGAGGATTATAAGAATAACCGTGGCACAGCTGTATTTTTTCCTCCCATTATAATGTCATTTTGTTCTCAGTTTATTGATGGCCGGCTGACAATGCTGGACCAGGGCAAAGAGCCGGATGACGTGTTTGAGGAAGAGGTGCTTCAGTGTGGTGCTTCATCCGGTGCGTGTTTACGTTCGTCACAGAATCAGACTTGCTTGTTGGGTTGCTCATTTTAACACCCCTTCTGTTCGTTATTCCTCTCAGGTGGCTCTAAACTGAGACGGCAATGGGTGGGAAATTTAAAGGTATGTTTTACTCGTACAGGAACCATAAACATGACACAACTCTGGAAGACAACCATACTACTCTTATGATATCTGCAGTATGCACACAGCACACACTATTTTCAGTATTCACAGATTGCATACAAGTTCTAGTACAGTAATGTTCAGTTTACAGCAGAGCATGCTTGACCCTCCATTTCCAGTCAGACAAATAAACTAGAATGGACATCAAAATAAATGTTTTTCTTTATAACTCATAATTAAATTAGATTTACAAACGTTGTTTTTACACAAAATTGGATAAAATAAAAAAAAGCTACTTTCTCTCCCCACAGAAAGGGGGTGGAGCTCTGATTGTGACATGGAAGACTACAGCAAACACTAATAAATTATCAAATAAAACCAAGTTTAATAATTGCATTAAAAATTAATTCTGAATTAAAGGGGTCATATGATGTTGCGAAAAATTTAATTATTTAGTGTATTTGGTGTAATGAAATGTTTATGCGGATTAAGATTAAAAAAACACATTATTTTCCATATAATGTACATTATTGTTTCTCCTCTATGCCCCGCCTTTCTGAAACGCATCGCTTTTTACAAAGCTCATCGGTCTGAAAAGCGAGGTTTGCTCTGATTGGCCAGCTATCCAGTGCGTTGTGATTGGCCGAATCTGAGTGAGTGGAGGCCGGCGGGCTTGCGGCAACCACATGTGACGACCCCGGGCTGGACTCCGCTTCGTCCATGGTGAAAGCCGATCCGGCGATCCACAGTGCGAAGTTGATGTATTTCTTCACTGACCAGCACGGATCAGCTCCAGGCATGACGAAGCGGATATCGTCCTCTTTTGGAAGGCCAAACAAAGTAGTTTCGCTTTCACAACGAAGCACACAGCGTCTTCACGACATGGCGGCGGCAACAATACTACAGCGAGAGTAAAAGTTACGCCTTCTTTCTTTGCGTGAACATTTGGGCACATTATGCAAATCTTCCCACATAGTGACCTAGATATGTGGGGGCGTGTTAGAACGAGCTGTTTTAGGTAGGCGTGGTTGACTCTTAAAGAATATCTCTTTGGATTTGAGACTTTAGTCTTTGCAACTTTACAGATCTTCTTTATGCACCAAGAGCTTGTAACACTTCAAAGAGAAAGGAAAAATTTAAATCGCATCATATGACCCCTTTATGACTATAATTCATAAAAATAGTATTTCATAAGAATATTAAATAAAAAATAAAAAAATCTCCACTTGAGTAGCCCTTATACACAAACTGTCCAGTTTTATTCCTATCTATATTCTGAAGGTTTTTATAGAGGAATGTGTTTATATATCATTCGCCTGATTTGTTTTTGATCAAACTTTTTTTGATAGTATTTAAAAAGTGATTAAAAGATATATCGAAAATCCCCTTTTGTAAAATCCTTTAATATGTAAACTTAAAGAAACAAGAATTTTGAGCCTGGATTTATTGGATGCTCATATTTCTGTTCTGGCAATGTATGCAAATTAGCAGACATTAAATTAGATAGTGCCTCATTTGCATATTTAAACATTTCAAAAATCTTGCAATACAAAACAATCGTCTTAATGTACTCAGATTAATTAACTGGAGAAGTATAGTGAAATATATTAGTTAATTCCACCTATGTTTTGGAACAGTACAACCAAAAATAATCTACTCACCCTAATATTGTTCCAAACCCATATGACTTACTATTTCCTGTGGAGGTTTTTTTTTCCATGGAGATGTTTTGAAGAATGTTCATGCTGCTCTTTTTGCGCTGAATGAGGTCTGAGGATGTTAAGCTGCAAAAATAGCACTATAAAAGTTTTAAAACGTACCCAAATGTACTTCAAGTCATATGATCGCTTGTGTGAAGCATTGGCAACTTGAGCATGCACATATTCCTACTTCACGTGACTGATTATAAATATGCAGAGAACCAATGGCATTTAGTGCCTTCCCAATCTTAAATATGCAGAAAAACAAATGACATTTAAGTTTCACAATGGAGGATTATAAGAATAACCGTGGCACAGCTGTATTTTTTCCTCCCATTATAATGTCATTTTGTTCTCAGTTTATTGATGGCCGGCTGACAATGCTGGACCAGGGCAAAGAGCCGGATGACGTGTTTGAGGAAGAGGTGCTTCAGTGTGGTGCTTCATCCGGTGCGTGTTTACGTTCGTCACAGAATCAGACTTGCTTGTTGGGTTGCTCATTTTAACACCCCTTCTGTTCGTTATTCCTCTCAGGTGGCTCTAAACTGAGACGGCAATGGGTGGGAAATTTAAAGGTATGTTTTACTCGTACAGGAACCATAAACATGACACAACTCTGGAAGACAACCATACTACTCTTATGATATCTGCAGTATGCACACAGCACACACTATTTTCAGTATTCACAGATTGCATACAAGTTCTAGTACAGTAATGTTCAGTTTACAGCAGAGCATGCTTGACCCTCCATTTCCAGTCAGACAAATAAACTAGAATGGACATCAAAATAAATGTTTTTCTTTATAACTCATAATTAAATTAGATTTACAAACGTTGTTTTTACACAAAATTGGATAAAATAAAAAAAAGCTACTTTCTCTCCCCACAGAAAGGGGGTGGAGCTCTGATTGTGACATGGAAGACTACAGCAAACAAAGCAGTGAGTAAAGTAAAGTTTGGGGTTGCTAAGATTTTTGAAATGCTTTTGAAAGAAGTTTCCTCTGCTCACCAAGGTTGCATTTACAGTATCTGATAAAAAAAATACAGTAAAAAGAGTACTATTGTAAAATAAAATTACAATTTCAAATACTGTATGTCGTTATATACAGTAAAATTATGTGAAATATTATTACAGTTTAAAATTGCTGTTTTCTATGTGAATATATGTTAAAATGTATTTTATTGCTGTGATCAAAGCTGTATTTTCAGCATCATGACTCCAGTCTTCAGTGTCACATGATTCTTCCGAAATCATTCTAATAAACTGATTTGCTGCTCAAGAAACATTTCTGATTATTATCAAATATAAACTCTTGTGCTGCCGAATATTTTTGTGGAAACCGTGATATATTATATATTTCAGGATTCTATGATGAATAGAACTTTCAAAAGAATGACATTTATTTAAAATAGATATATTTTAAATGTCTTTACTGTCACTTTTCATTTAATTCTGTGCTGAATAAAAGCATTGATTTCTTTTAAAAAATTCTAACTTCTAACATAAATCGCATAATCGTATTAATTTGTAATGTGCCGTTGTGCATTATTACAGTAAATATTACATGAATACGGTTTCCATTTTGATTGTTCTTGCATGACATAATTCTCTTCATATCTCAGACCAAATATCACAGCAAATTTGGGCTGAAAAACCTCCTGTCATCAAAGGTGAGTTTATGTTCCTTATATTGCACATGCTTCCTCTGCAGTGTTGTGCAAGTTACTTCCAAACTGTAATACATTATAGATTACTTGTTCCTGTTATTTAAAAGTAATGCCTGACTAAATTGCACAAAAATTATGTCATAAAGCTAAACATACGGTCAGAAGTTTGGGGTTGAATTTGTTGTTTTTGAAAGAAGTATCATCTGCTCACCAAGGCTGCATTTATTTGTTTTTTAATAAACAGCAATATTGTGGAATATTATTATAATTTCAAAGAACTGTTTTCTGTGTGAATATATTGCAAAATGTAATTTATTGCTGTGATCAAAGCTGAATTTTCAGCATCATTACTCCAGTCTTCAGTGCCACATGATCCTTCAGAAATCATTCTAATAAACTGATTTACTAAAGAAATGTCTGATTATTATCAGTGTTGATCAGTTGTGCGACTTGATATTTTTGTGGAAACCCTGATATATTTCATTTTTCAGGATTCTTTGATGAATAATTTGTTTTCAAAAGAACAGCATTTATGTGAAATAGAAATCTTTTGTAACATTATAAATGTCTTCACTTTTGATCAATTTAATGCAACCTTGTTGAATAATTTCTCTTTTTTTGAACTTACTGACTAATATATACTGTGTACTGGACTTGTGTATATAATTCATCACTAAATTGCACAAAAATTATGTCATAAAGCTAAACATACGGTCAGAAGTTTGGGGTTGATTTTGTTGTTTTTGAAAGAAGTATCATCTGCTCACCAAGGCTGCATTTATTTGGTTTTTAATAAACAGCAATATTGTGGAATATTATTACAATTTCAAAGAAATGTGAATATATTGCAAAATGTAATTTATTTCTGTGATCAAAGCTGAATTTTCAGCATCATTACTCCAGTCTTCAGTGCCACATGATCCTTCAGAAATCACTCTAATATGCTGATTTACTAAAGACATTTCTGAATATTATCAGTGTTGATCAGTCAAAAGAACAGCATTTATGTGAAATAGAAATCTTTTGTAACATTATAAATGTCTTCACTTTTGATCAATTTAATGCAACCTTGTTGAATAATTTCTCTTTTTTTGAACTTACTGACTAATATATACTGTGTACTGGACTTGTGTATATAATTCATGCAGTTTGGCTCCACCTTGTGTTCAACCACAATACAACAGATTCACTTTACTTTGTAAATATTCTCAGTCTCGACCACGCCGGCCGACACGCAAGCAGGGCACCAGCAGCCACCAGGGCTATGAACAACAGACAGAGGATGACAACACCACCTATGAGGACAGGTGAGATGAGAGGACACAGATGCATGGACGCCTTGCCGTTTTATGTATTTTTTTTACAATGCATTTCCCTTTCCAGTGTAACAGAAAGTCTCGACTTGCTGAATAATTTCTATTTTTTGAACTTACTGACTAATATATACTGTGTACTGGACTCGTGTATATAATTCATGCAGTTTGGCTCCACCTTGTGTTCAACCACAATACAACAGATTCACTTTACTTTGTAAATATTCTCAGTCTCGACCACGCCGGCCGACACGCAAGCAGGGCACCAGCAGCCACCAGGGCTATGAACAACAGACAGAGGATGACAACACCACCTATGAGGACAGGTGAGATGAGAGGACACAGATGCATGGACGCCTTGCCGTTTTATGTATTTTTTTTACAATGCATTTCCCTTTCCAGTGTAACAGAAAGTCTCGAGCAGTGCTCTGGCACCAGCGACTTACAGGAAGATGATGATCTCTCTCTCTTGGCCGACCCGGAGGAGATGGATCTGCTCGGTGAGATCTTCGACACGCTGAGTGCTCAGAGCTCCAGAGAGCCGGGTTTACTCTACGGCACACGCAGCCTCGACCTCTTCAGCTCCGACAGCAGTGAATTCATCTCACATGTAAGGCCTGGATCCTCTCACACATTACATCTAAACGGTCCTGGACAGGGTGTCTGGCTTAACCTGCAACAAACAAGCCGCATTCAGCCTTAAGAGCACATTTCAAGTCTTTACAACACTGGCATCACAATCAGAAGATATTTAGCCCTGTATGGTATGCATTATAATGGTGGAATATTTTTCACACATGATTTGATTATGATTGACATAAATAGCAACATTCCTTCTAATAATTAGAAGAAATCGTACAGGAACTAGGGAATTGTTGCTAAATGGCATGTCTGTATTACAATGGAAAATGGGTCCTTTTTTAAATTATCCATTTCTGCTTGATTTAATATTAATAGTTGAATAATTTATGCATTTTTACACTTTGAAATCCTAATTGAGGAAACCATTACCATGTTAAACACTTTCAAACATAAGTTAAATCAGCTATCAGCTGAAGTTGCCAAAACAGGAAGTACTAAAAGCAAATTACAAATTATATATATAATATATAAAATAATCTGTCATGACAACTCATGAGTGATTTGCATGGTATTGTTAATGTATTTGGTCTTCTCGGAAGAGATCTGCTACGCTGCTGCTGCTGCGGCAGAGCAAGTATACCGAGACTTGCAACATGCTGTTGTGAGCGTGTAAGAAATATTGCTGCTGCACATATAAAATATATGACTAACCCTCATAGCATATATTATCACCCCATAGCAGATCTATACAGGTGGAGCTGGGGAAGGTGGAGGGATTCTGAAGTGTGCTGCTACTGCTACAGCAAACGATACCAATTATTTAAATGTTAAGCAGCGAGCTACTGATACAGGAGAGAACCAATCAGCTGTGCCATGTGATAATGATGTCATATGTCATATTGACTTTGATGGACTGCGCCATCTAGATTTTCATGCCAGAACTTTGAATATATATTACAAAACACAATTTCTTAATTCAAATAAATGGAAAATATAAATATTAAAATAAGACTGAATCAGTTAACACCATTTAATTATCTTACTGAAGATGCAGAAAAAGACACCTAAATGTTTAATTATAGCATTTCATGGAGAACCTCTGTTAGGGTTTTTGGATAAAAAGTCATGTGGCTTTCAACAGCAACAGTCCAACTTTTTATTTCCAAAATGTTTTGTTTTTTTCTCTGAAAGGTGAAGAAGTAAAGGAAGCCATTACATTGTTATTCAGCTACAACATACCATAAGGGCTAAATACTTAGGGCCCTATTTTAACAATCTAAGTGCATGGTCTAAAGTGCACGGCGCAGGTGCACTCAAGGCGTGTCCGAATCCACTTTTGCTAGTTTAATGATGGGAAAATGGTCGGAGCCCAGCGCATGGTCTAAACTGGTTGTCCCTATTCTCTTAATGAGTAATGGGTGTGTTTTGGGCGTAACGTGCAATAAACCAATCAGAGTCTCATCTCCCATTCCCTTTAAAAGCCAGTTGCGCTCGCGCCATGGCGGGTTCGCTATTTACATGGCAGAATTTAATTTTTAAAAATGTTTGTGTGCTGCTGCGCGTCCCTGTGTGTGTGTAATAAGCAAAGGGTACGCGTGTTGTGCACCCGCCTATAGGCGCCTATTACTAACGCTCTCTTTAAATAAAGAAAAAATATTGTGCCAGACTTTAGACCAGGTTTGAGTTGGTCTATGGTGCAGTCTATTTTCAGTTCCTCAATAGAGCAACGCGCCTACAATGTGCCTGAACACACCTCTTTTTTAGACCAGCACACCCATGGGTGCACAAATGCATTTGCTATTTAAACAACGTGGCGCAGGGTGGGAAAATGAGAACTGCGTCGGGTTGAAACTAGCAAAAAACACATGATAGGGCCCTCTATGACTGAAATGCAAAGTAATAATTTCGAACATATTTAAGGTGAACTGAGAAAATAAAATGGCTTTGCTGCATGAAAACAACATGAACAAGAAAGGCTTCACTAATTAATTGAATTAGTGTTGTGTCAGTCTTACCTGACTTCTGTTTTTGAAAACTTGACAAATAGTCCAGCACCGGGAACCTATCGGTGGAAAAGGTCACTCTCTCACCATTTCATTTCTCTTTCAGAAGAGTCTGACCAACCCAAGTCAGGAGAGTCTAAGTCCCTCTTTTGGAAACAGCGGAAGTCTCATGAGCTGCGAGGAGGAGCTAGAGGAGGGGCCTGGTGGTGAGGGGGAGGAGCCTGATGTCCTGATTGACAGGCCAGAAAATGAGCTTAACCAATTAGAGAAGGACTTGACCGAGTTAGGGGAAAATCTGTGTTCAGATCTACAAATTCTAGAGGATGCTTCTCTGGATCCCGAAGTGGGTTCTCAGGAGCAACAAAAGGACAGCTGGTCGAAAAATGATGGACAAATGAATGGAACAATGGAGGAAAGCTTGGAAACCGAGACAGTAGTTACAGAGAGGACAGAGATGGAACCTGACAAAGAAGAACTTCAGAAAGAGCATAAGACGACAAATGACTTGGGCCCAAACGGACCAACAAATGAAGGAATGACCTCCGCTGTTTCTCACAATGTAAAGATAGACAAAAGAGAAGAGCTAGATAAGAAGAGCATTGAACCTCTATCACCAAACGTTTTGCCTACCGTTGCTCTGTTCCAGTCCTCGGCTGACTCTTCTGGTTCCCGAGGGTGGGATAAATCTCTAAAAACTCCCATCAGAACCCACAAAATCAATGTGGGACCAATGACGGGCCTGCAGACTGAAGAACAAAGTATGAAATCGCCTGTTTCATCAACACCAGAAGATCAAACCCAGGCTCCCATTAAGGTCTCAGAGCTGAAGAAGAGATTCGAACATTAGATCATCACAAATCAAGCATACTGAAGCGAAACTAAAAAATGACTTTTTTAGATTGTCAATTACAAGTCTACACGAAACAACACTTGCGCCCCATTTTGATTCTTGTGAGGCAACACTGCTGAGTCAAGTTCGATAAGCGTTCCATACTGAACTTTAAGACTGTGGAAGGTTATTTGTCTCATGTACCTGCTGGTTAAAACTTAACGCTGACATCAGTCAATAAAGTCGAATCAAAGGCAATGCAAGTTACTCCAATTTGGTGAAGGATTGTTTATCCCTTTGGAATAATGTACACTGAACGTGCATTAAAGTAAATCAGGTCAATTTTAACTTTCATTGTAGCTAAATGCAGAATGTTATCAAAATAAACTGATAAATGCACCAATTCTGACCAATAAAGAAAATCCAACACTTTTTTTATCCAAATATATTTAATCATTTATAAAAACCTAATGAGACTAGTTGCTAACTCAGAGCAAATATTGACACAGCCAAAACCAAAAACTCTCGATGAGATTTACTCACAGATGCATTTTAATTAATCATACAGTCACTTAATCACGGTTTGATCAACAAATATGTTACAGACATAATACAAACCTAATACAAAACAACATTTGGCAAAGTGCAGTATATATTTTTCTCTCCACCTTTAAAAAAAACTGCAACATAGCATTCACTTTTGGTCATTTAAAGTATTCAGTATGACAATGGTAAACTATTTTGGAGGTAAAGCTGCCACGTGACTCCTTCATGAAGACTCTCAGGTGAGTAAACTTAAAGTACAGATGAAGTAAACAAAGTCAAACTGGTTTGGCTGTCCATGTAAACCATCTGGCTTTTTTTTACTTTTGATGAATGCACTTCCCAGTGTCTTCAGATATCCCAAGTGTGATAGCAAAACCTCTTCATGCATACTTGAATTGATTTGTCAGCATTAACAGTGCATTGCGATGTCAAAGCATTCTCACCTCTCTCTCAAAAATGCCAAATAAATACCCACCACCACTTCAAACGTTCTCCATCCATGACCCTCCACTTGTTTGTCAGGATTGCACACGTGTGTGGACTCCACATACATATCAATATTAAGTTATAATGAAAGTTCTGTTTAGGTCTACCTGATCAACCTAAACAGTGGTGTGGTTTGAGCATCGTTCAGATCAGTCTCTCCTCTTTGGGCAGTGGGAGAGCGAGCCCGGGTCTCTCGGCTCCGTGGTTCTTGGCTTGTTTGCGCTCTTCCGCGCTGGGCTGGTATGATCCCTCCATCTGCTGCCTCTTACGAAGGACGCACGAGAACAAAACCAAGGCCAGAGTCAGCAGGAACAACAGCGGCATGAACAGGCCCAACGTGCTCTCCGAACTCATGATGCTCCACACATGCACATGTGAAAACAAACACAGACTGAGAATATCTGTGCAACAGTGGTTCAAGGGTGTGTCTGTTCAAAAAGACACAAAATGTGAGTATCCGTGTGTGTGTGTGTGTGTGTGAGAGAGAGAGAGAGAGAGAGCGAGAGAGAGAGCGAGAGGTACCTGGTTAATTGTGACTACACAGTGGTCATCCTTTTACATTTTGGAAGGGAACTTTAACCTAGTGGAAGAGGAAGATAAAAGCATGACATGAATTCCTACAGTTCACAAACACATTCACAGATGAGAAGATAATTTCAAAAGAGTCTACTGTTCGGCTGTGGACTGATGGGGTTAATTATTAGTCTGGGAGAACAACACTAACCTACAGCTACAAGGACATCCACAAAAACACTTAACACACAGCTGAACATGAACTGAACTCACCCTCAAGTCGTTTCCAAAGCTGTATGGCTTTCAGTAAATTGACTAAACTGGTGTCTTTTCCTTAATCTGAACTATTTTTGACTCTGAAATACAGCACATGATGCAATTTAATAATGCTGTTTTTGTGTCCCTCTGGAGCATGAAACCTTCAGTTCCCATTCATTTTAACAAGTACAATTCTTCAAAATAAGTCACACAGACAGAATTGATATTTTTGGGTAAACACACTTAAAAGAAAGAAAGAAAAAAAAGCAGCATAAAATGCATCATAAAACATTTTTGTCCCTACCAAGAGAGAGAGAGAGAGAGAGAGAGAGAGAGAGCGAGAGAGAGAGCGCAAAGTACCTGGTTAATTGTGACTACACAGTGGTCATCCTTTTACATTTTGGAAGGGAACTTTAACCTAGTGGAAGAGGAAGATAAAAGCATGACATGAATTCCTACAGTTCACAAACACATTCACAGATGAGAAGATAATTTCAAAAGAGTCTACTGTTCGGCTGTGGACTGATGGGGTTAATTATTAGTCTGGGAGAACAACACTAACCTACAGCTACAAGGACATCCACAAAAACACTTAACACACAGCTGAACATGAACTGAACTCACCCTCAAGTCGTTTCCAAAGCTGTATGGCTTTCAGTAAATTGACTAAACTGGTGTCTTTTCCTTAATCTGAACTATTTTTGACTCTGAAATACAGCACATGATGCAATTTAATAATGCTGTTTTTGTGTCCCTCTGGAGCATGAAACCTTCAGTTCCCATTCATTTTAACAAGTACAATTCTTCAAAATAAGTCACACAGACAGAATTGATATTTTTGGGTAAACACACTTAAAAGAAAGAAAGAAAAAAAAGCAGCATAAAATGCATCATAAAACATTTTTGTCCCTACCAGGATGGTAATATTTATATATTTGTAATACATTATAGTCAAAGTGTAGGTGTTAAACTATAAGCTATATATTGTTATTTTTTCCCTTCTCATTTTATGAGTGAAAACAAAGTCAACAAGACAACAAAACTATAAAATAACAAGTATATAAAATATATAATGACCACAAGTGGTGTGTTAGTGCTTACACTCTAAAAAAAAAAAATGCTGGGTTAAATATGGATAAACCATTTACACATTTATCCCAACTGTTGGTTGAAAGCAACCCAATCGTTGGTTTTGTACATATTTAACCCAGCATTTTTTTTTTAGAGTGTATCAACTCTCTAAAGTGAATCCTGGCGAATTCATACACAAACTCGATTTAATCTATAAAACTGGCATTTAAAATGAACTATTTAAAATCATGAGAAACAAAGGTTAAGTTTAGACATAGACCTAGGCCTACCTCACAGTCACATTACATCCCTCGCGCACGTCAATACCATGGTATTCAATACACTGCCCTATATTAAAGTACCATACTGTCGTCTGACTCCTGCTTTATATGGGACTTTCGTTACTGATGACCAATTCTTCACATATTATTTGACTTCCGAGTTTGGAGATGATGTATTAAGCAAGCAGCGGCGGTGTTGGAGTGAGGTGAGGTGAGTTTTATCAGCTCAAGATGAGAGAGAGACAGTCAGACAGTCAGTCGCGGAAGAATGTGGCGAAGCTGGTTTGACGAGCTGTTTTCAAAACACACTGAGACGAACAACCACCTGACTGAAAGAGAAACTGAGCTCACCTGAGAAACTGCTGTGATACCGGCGGAGGATTATTTTAAAGCCCACAGGATCAAGACCTCAGCGTCCAAGCGAAGAGCGCGAGGCAGCCGCTTTTCTTGCTGATCCTCGCGTTCATGACGGCTACTCTCTCACCTGCGTCCGGAAGCGCGTCAACTCGCTGTACCTGTTCCTCTCACGAAACTCAGGTGACACGCGCTCAAGGATCAACGCCCCTTTTTTGACATTCCTCGTTACACAGGCTGACTGCGGTGTAGTGCTATGAATGTACAAAAATGAAAGGGTTTGTTTAATTTTCATTGGAATAAAAAATAGATTAATGTTTTTGCCTTCGTTTGATTACCAGCAAATGAAAATACACAGCATTTAAAATAAATAAATAAAATAAAATAAAAAATGTTATAGGGCCCTATTAGCCTATTGTATACAATTTTATTGAAAGTTGTTTTTGTGAATTCAATTAATTAGATATGTTTTTGATTAAACCATTAAAATGAAATACAGAAACATTAAAATGGAAAGCGCAGAATTTGGGCCCTAAGAATGTAATTCTTGTTAAACTTTTAATAGGCCTAAATTGCTGTTAAATTAAACAAGTTTCGTGGTTTTAATTAATTAGACATGTTTTTTGTTAAAATTGAATATAATCACCCTGAAAAAAAAATACTGAATCCAGAAATTAAAAAGAATAAAAATAAACGTATATTTTAAAGTTTAGAATTCGACAGCCTTGCGTTGTGTAGACGATTGCATAGTCAAATAAAACATATCATGCATCTGAAGCTATATTTAAAACTAAGCAACAATGCATATCAAGCTGAATCTGTGTCCCAAAGTGAAGTGCACGGACTCCGAGGTGCGCATTTGAAGTGCGATTGCGTCACAGCGTCATGACATAAGCTGTCCCAATTCAGGATGCACCCTCCGAAGGCCGCATTCCAAGGCATTCCAACCGTATTTCGAAAGCGACTTCAAATGCACCCTCCATTTCCCAGGAAAATGAAGTGTACATCTGATGGACACTTTGCATCCTACCATATCCCAGAATCACTTGCGCGCAGTTGAGATGGAATTTATATTCAAAGAACACAGGGGGTGAGAGTTCTGAGGGGGAATTCACATTGAAATGTAAGTATTGTGTTATCATTTACTCAAATACGTAGCAAAACAAGTCTTAAAAGCTTGGGTTTAAAAAAAAAAAAAGCCCGCAAACAACAAGACAACCACTATATAAGGCAATAGAAATAAAAAACTTTTTGTTGTGTTTTTGTAGTGCTGTCATGTCTACAAATGTTTTAACCAAACTTTAGCGCTTCAGTATTTTGTATGCATGTCCTTCTGTGTCATATTTTCTAATGATTGCAAACCTGTCTTTATATTTTTCATAAGTGTATCCATTTTCTCTTGTTTTAGGACTATTCTGGAGAAAATGAGCCTGCTGGAGAAATACTTAAAAAATACAAAGTAAGCAAGTTAATTGAGAGATTTTTGCTGAAATTCATTGTGCTGTTGTTGCTGACAGGCATGGTTTACTTGCTCTGCCTTAGGATTGCAAGTGTCCTGGGACAGGTGAGGGAGAGAGTGGAAGCTGGTGGAGCTACTCAGGGAGGACATCAAACTCCAGAGAGAAACAGAGGAGAGAAGAGCACAGGAGAGCAGGGAGAGAATGGAGAGACTGTTTTCTCTTCTTGAGAGAATGCTTAACAAATACATTATTTATTAGCCAAGAGAAAACAGTGGGGGAAAAAATGGGTACATTACAATTTTTTTAAATGTCACATTGTCAATGAAACCTAATTTCTCTAGTTTATTTTTGTGATTAAGTTCAAAATGAAATGAATAAGTTGTATACATTATTCATTTTTGTAGTGTAATTTATTTGTAAATGAGCTATATAAGCGAGAGAGAGGACATGTATTCCCTTTTTTTATCAATTTCATGAAACGCATTAAACATTTCATGTGTGGGTTAAATGACATGAATTTGTGAAATTTGATGTATTTTGAAGACAAAGACAGCAATGCATGGTTAAATGACTGATTGAGTGATAATTCAAATACTAATTAAAATGTGTGCATTTTCTACATGTGCAACCGCAGCTAGTGGATGGTGTGGGCAATAACACAAAAACTGGAAGACTGTCCAAATGTGTGTAAGTGGGTTCATTTAGGAAGGAAAATTAAAAAATAGTAGAAAAGAATCGACCTGAATCAATAAAAGGAATTATAAATAATTGACTGCCTTTGTGTGAATAATAGCCTATATGTAATTCATAAAAACGAACTGTAATCTGATTATGAGCATTTCAAAACAAAATACAATTGTCACACCACAGTGAGATAAACGCACAAAGAAGATTAAGATAAATGCAAATAGCCTTTTAATAAATCCACACAAGGGTAAATCCAGGACAGAACAGGCAGCATAGGGACGCAGTAGACCGGACGAAAAACAGAGAACAGAACACAAAACCAAACTTTAGCGCTTCAGTATTTTGTATGCATGTCCTTCTGTGTCATATTTTCTAATGATTGCAAACCTGTCTTTATATTTTTCATAAGTGTATCCATTTTCTCTTGTTTTAGGACTATTCTGGAGAAAATGAGCCTGCTGGAGAAATACTTAAAAAATACAAAGTAAGCAAGTTAATTGAGAGATTTTTGCTGAAATTCATTGTGCTGTTGTTGCTGACAGGCATGGTTTACTTGCTCTGCCTTAGGATTGCAAGTGTCCTGGGACAGGTGAGGGAGAGAGTGGAAGCTGGTGGAGCTACTCAGGGAGGACATCAAACTCCAGAGAGAAACAGAGGAGAGAAGAGCACAGGAGAGCAGGGAGAGAATGGAGAGACTGTTTTCTCTTCTTGAGAGAATGCTTAACAAATACATTATTTATTAGCCAAGAGAAAACAGTGGGGGAAAAAATGGGTACATTACAATTTTTTTAAATGTCACATTGTCAATGAAACCTAATTTCTCTAGTTTATTTTTGTGATTAAGTTCAAAATGAAATGAATAAGTTGTATACATTATTCATTTTTGTAGTGTAATTTATTTGTAAATGAGCTATATAAGCGAGAGAGAGGACATGTATTCCCTTTTTTTATCAATTTCATGAAACGCATTAAACATTTCATGTGTGGGTTAAATGACATGAATTTGTGAAATTTGATGTATTTTGAAGACAAAGACAGCAATGCATGGTTAAATGACTGATTGAGTGATAATTCAAATACTAATTAAAATGTGTGCATTTTCTACATGTGCAACCGCAGCTAGTGGATGGTGTGGGCAATAACACAAAAACTGGAAGACTGTCCAAATGTGTGTAAGTGGGTTCATTTAGGAAGGAAAATTTAAAAATAGTAGAAAAGAATCGACCTGAATCAATAAAAGGAATTATAAATAA